CTACTCTCTTGCTGACATCCCTCCAGATTCTTAATCTTTCTGAGTTGTGGGATATTTGACAATCTGTCAAAAGCTGTGAAACATCTTTTACCTAGAAAAAATGTACAAACAGAAATTATGAGATATGAATTTTGAGAGAATTATATGCCCTCACATGCACAGGAATATATCACATGCACATGAATATATAGCTATTCACAAAGCCTGGTTTAAAAATCTTGATACAGTCTGTGCAATAAAGCATTAAATCAGCAGGCTTGGGTTACTCAAGCCCTGCATATTCCAAATAATGGACTGGCCCTTGACCAGCTTCTGGGAGATAACTTCTGAAGCTTGGAATATCCTGCCTGATAAGAGCGTCTTTGTATGCCTGAGGCCTTGGGCCACACTGCATCTGTTTGTCCAGGTAGATTATGCTAACAATGTGATTTATGGTGAGTGCCTGTTTTTGTATGTCTGAAATCCTGGGCCACACAGTATCAGTTTGACCTGTGCAGCTGGAGACTGATAGCTAAGGTCATTGATACAGGGGCTGCATACCTGTATGACTGCCTCGGTTAAAACCCTGAACACCGAGACTCAGGTGAGCTTCCTTGGTTGGCAGCAATTTGCACGTGTCACACATCATTACTCAGAGCATTCAACACTGTCTGTGAGACTAGTAGAGGACAGCTGAAACTTTATGCCTGGTTTCTCCTGGGCTTTGCCTTACATGCCTTTTCCCTTTGCTAATTCAAATCTGTATCCTTTCGTTATAATAAACCATAACCATAAGTTTAACAGAGTCCTGTGACTCCTAGTGAATTACTGAACCTGAGGGTGGTCTTGGGGACTCTTGACATAGTTCAAATCACTCACATGGAACTAGCCAAATTGTCATAACCACTATAGCAATTAGGCCACATGACTCTCAGCAGCCAAAACAAAAGTTCATTCGAACAAATATTTCATGAATGCTTATCGTTTGCTAAGTGCTAGGAAAGCACAAAGACTCGAAGATAAATACGTTCATGCGTAGAGCTATAGTCTTGGCATAGGTCTCTCCAGCCTTCAAAATATAAGTGGGACTTCATGTACCTAGGAGGTATTCCTTTCTTCTTGTTGCTTCCAGTTTCTCTCACTGAACACATCATTCTGTGTCAGGCCGTGCTTAAAAGGAATTATTTTTGTTTGCAAGGTAATGACTTTTGGAGGGGTTTTGTCTTAGTTTTTGAAATGTTTGTTTTTAAAAGTCAGGTCTGTTGAGGCATAATTTATATATAGTAAAATTTACCCTTTATAAGTATATAATTCTGTGAGTTTTGGCAAGTGTATACAATCACCACCATGTCAAGATACAGAACATTTCTGTCATCCTGAAAAGTTTCCTCATGTTCCTTTATAGTCAAGTCTCCTCTCTTCACCCATAGTCCCTGAAAACCATTGATCTGTTTTCTGTCCCTATAGTTTTGCCTTTTCTAGAATGTCATATAAGTGGAATCATATGGTATGTACTCCTTTGTGTTTTCTTTTTTTTTTTTTTCAACTGACCACAGTGCTTTTAACATTCATCCATGTTGCTGCATGGATCACTTGTTTGTTCCTTTCCATTGCTGGGTAGCTTTCCATTATGTGGATGTGCCATAGTTTGTTTGTCCATGCACCAGTTGGTAGACATTTGGATTGTTTCTAGTTTGGGGCTACTTTGAATTAGGCTACTATGAGCATTCACATTCGGGTGTTTGTATGGATATGCTTTCATTTCTCTTGGATAAATACCTAAAAATAGGATTGCTATGTCAAATGGATGAGTATGTTTATAAGAGATTGCCTATTATTTTTCCAAATGGCTTTACCATTTTGTATTTCTACCAGCAATGTATGAGATTTCCAATTGTTACTCATGCTCATCACCACTTAGTATTATCGATCTTTCCTTTTTCTTTTTTTTTCCAAGACAGAGTCTCACTCTGTTGCCCAGGCTGGAGTGCAGTGGCGCAAGCTCAGCTCACTGCAACCTCTGCCTCCCGGGTTTAAGCAACTCTCCTGCCTCAGCCTCTGGAGTAGCTGGGATTACAGGTGTGTGCTACCACACCCAGCTAATTTTTGCATTGTTAGTAGAGATGGGGTTTCACCATGTTGGTCAGGCTGGTCTCAAACTCCTGACCTCAGGCGATCCACCCACCTCAGCCTCCCAAAGTGCTGGGATTACAGGCGTGAGCCACCGCGCCTGGCCTTTGTTTTGTTTTGTTTGTTTGTTTGTTTTTTGAGACACGGTTTCACTCTGTCACCCAGGCTGCAGTGTAGTGGTGCAATCTCAGCTTAATGCAACCTCCACCTCCCGGGTTCAAGTGATTCTTGTGCCTCAGCCTCTCGAGTAGCTGAGATTACAGGAGCGTACCACCATGCCCAGCTAATTTTTGTATTATTAGTAGAGACGGGGTTTCACCATGTTTGCCAGGCTGGTCTCAAACTCCTGAGCTCAAGTGATCCACCTGCCTTGGCCTCCCAAAGTGTTAGGATTACAGGCGTGAGCCACCGCGTCTGGCCAGCAGTTTCTTACAAAGCCAAACTCTAGGACCCAGCAATTCCACATCCAGGAATATGCTCAAGAAAAATTAGTTTATATGTCCACCAAAAGTCTTGTACAAGAATGTTCATAGCCACTTAATTTCTATAGCCAAAAACTTGACAAAATCCAAATATCCATCAAGAAAAACATAAAACAATTTGGGATATAATCTTACAATGGAATACCACCAGCAATAATAAAAGTAAAAAAATATAGTAATATGCAGAACAGCATGGATGAATCTCAAAAACAGTATGCTGAGATTAAAAAAAAAAAGCCAAATGAAGTAAGAAGTATATGATTCCATTTATATGACATTCAAAATCAAGCAAAACTATCTATGGTGGTAGAAATCAAAATAATGGTTACCTCTGGTGGACTAGGTATTGATTCAGTAAGGTGCAAGGGGTCCTTCCAGGGTGAAGGAAATGGTCTATCTGTTGAAGTGGGTAAAGGTTTCATGGTGTATACATATGTAAAAATTAGTTGAATTGTACATTTAAGACTTGTGCATTTGACTGGGTGCGGTGGCTTACGCCTGTAATCTCAGCACTTTGGGAGGCGGAGGCGGGAGAATCACGAGGTCAGGAGATTGAGACCATCTTGGCTAACATGGTGAAACGCCATCTCTACTAAAAAATACAAAAAATTAGCTGGGTGTTGTGGTGGGCGCCTGTGGTCCCAGCTACTTGGGAGGCTGAGGCAGGAGAATGGTTTGAAACTGGGAGGCGGAGGTTGCAGTGAGCCAAGATCGCACCATTGCACTCCAGCCTGGTGACAGAGTGAGACTCTGTCTCAAAAAAAAAAGACTTGTGCATTTTACTGTATGTAAATTCTACCTCACTTTTAAAACACTTTTAATTAAAAAAATTACTATGGACTCCTAAAGATCCTGTGTTTATTTAACAGCTATCAGATTTTATCATATTAGCCAGGCACAGTGGCTCACACCTCTAATCCCAGTACTTTGGGAGGCCGAAGCAGGAAGATCACTTGAGCCCGGGAATTCAAGACTAGCCTATCAACATAGTGAAAGCCCATCTCTACAAAAAATGTAAAAATTAGCCAGGCACGATGGTGTGTGCCTATACCCCAAGCTAGTCAGGAGGCTGAGGCAGGAGAATCATTTGAGCCCAGGGGTTTGAGACTGCACTGAGCTCTGATCACACCACTGCACTTTAGCCTGAGTGACAGAGTAAGACCCTGTTTCTTAAAAAAATAAAATAAAATAAAATAAAATAAAAATTAGCATATTATAAATTGAGATGGACAAACTTTATTTTTATTTATTTTTATTTTTTTGAGATAGAGTCTTGCTCTTTCACCCAGGCTGGAGTGCAATGGTGCGATCTCAGCTCACTGCAATCTCCACCTCCTGGGCTCAAGCAATTCTTCTGCCTCAGCCTCCCAAGTAGCTGGGATTACAGGCGTGTGGCACCACACCTGGCTGATTTTTGTATTTTTAGTAGAGACAGGGTTTCGCATGTTGGCCAGGCTGGTCTCGAACTCCTGACCTCAAGTGACACACTCACCTTGGCCTCCCAACATGCTGGGATTACAGGCATGAGCCACCACACCCAGCCCAAAATAGAGAAACTTTAAAATATTTAACTCATTTAGAAATAACAATAATAAACTCATTACACATTAACATAACATTTTAATGAAAAACAACTATATTGTCTACAACAAAAAAATAATGAGAAGAGTGTCATTGTTTTACATCTTTGCAAATTTCTTTAATATGTGGCTTAAAAGAAGATGGCTGGATTTTTAAGCCAACTTCTGCATTTAATTTTTTAAGCTCTCACATGTCACTCAGTGTTTGGAAACTCCACTGTACACTTGAAAGAGAAAATAAGTGAAAAGACAAATAACCCGTTATTATTATTATTTTCCTTTTTTTTTTTTTTGACATGGAGTCTCGCTCTGTCACCCAGGCTGGAGTGCAGTGGTGCCATCTCGGCTCACTGCAAGCTCTGCCTCCCAGGTTCAAGCTGTTCTCCTGCCTCAGCCTCCCTAGTAGCTGGGACTACAGGTGCCCGCCACCACGCCTGGCTAATTTTCATATTTTGAGTAGAGACGAGGTGTCATCACGTTGGCCAGGCTGGTCTCGAACTCCTGACCTCAAGTGATCCTCCTTCCTCGGCCTCCCAAAGTGATGGGATACAATAGTGAGCTACCGCACCCAGTCTATTATTATTATTAAAATAATTTAGACCTCATGACCATCTGAATGAGTCTCAGAGCCTGTAGGGTCCCTCCTCACCACACATTGGGAACTGCGGCTCTGATCTGCTCCCCCAGGCTAATTTTTTAGCATTTTTCTAGAAAAGAAATAAAATACCCACATATAGAATGGGGTTTATGTTAGCTACTATTTTTTATATGCTTCCTAGTACCTTTCTCATTTTCCACAGTTCTACCTTGCCTCCTCTGTGTCTTCCAGGTTCAGCAGCTTCAGAGAGCAGAACATCTTTTCCTCTCAGCCTGGCCCTCTGCAATGGAGGCCATAAAGAGGCCAGTAGTAAAAGCTACAGAACATGTGAGCATGGCAGGGGCTGAGCTCCATTTCAGGGTAACCTCCATCACTGTCTACTTGCTTACATATAATATCACCATAATTTGCTGCTGGAATTAGTCTTTGTCTTGACAAATGTATTCACATATGTATCTTGCATCCAAGTTTTGTTTTTTGTTTTTTTTTGAGACAGGGTCTTGCTCTGTCACCCAAGCTGTAGTGCAGTGGCGCAATCTCAGCTCACTGCAACCTCTGCCTTCCAGGTTCAAGCGATTCTCCTGCCTCAGCTTCCCCAGTAGCTGGGATTATAGGTGTGCGCCACCATGCCTGGCTAATTTTTGTATTTTTTGTAGAGACAGGGTTTCACCATATTGGCCAAGCTAGTCTTGAACTCCTGACCTCAGGTGATCCGCCCTCCTTGGCCTCCCAAAGTGCTGGGATTTACAGGCGTGAGCCACCCTGCCCAGCCCCTGCATCCAATTATAAAATATGACTGTCACTACAGAAAGTTCTCTCATGTTTCTTTTCTCTTTCTCTTTTTTTTTTTTTGAGCCAGAGCTTGCTCTGTCGCCCAGGCTGGAGTACAGTGGAGTGATCTTGGCTCGCTGCAAGCTCCGCCTCTTGGGTTCACGCCATTCTCCTGCCTCAGCCTCCTAAGTAGCTGGGACTACAGGCGCCCACCACCATGCCCAGCTAATTTTTTGTATTTTTAGTAGAGACGGGGTTTTACCATGTTAGCCAGGATGGTCTCCATCTCCTGACCTCGTGATCCGCCTGCCTCAGCCTCCCAAAGTGCTGGGATTACAGGCGTGAGCCACCTTACCCAACTGTTTCTTTTCAATCAAACTCTGTCCCCACCACACCACCAGAGGCAGTGTGGTAGGATAATAATAATAAATTAGTAAAAATTAATCCCAGAATATTTTAACTAATCCCCAGTGAAATTCTTTTTAAATTTATTTGGGACCAGGCATGGTGGCTCAGGTCTGTAATCCCAGCACTTTGGGAGGCCAAGGCAGGAGGACTGCTTGAACCCAGGAGTTCAAGACCAGCCTGGGCAACATGGCAACCCCTCATCTCTACCAAAACAAATTTTTTAATTAGCCAGGTGTGGTGGTGTGCACCTGTAGCTGTGGTCCCAGCTACTTGGGAAGCTGAGGCAGGAGGATCACTTGAGCCCAAGAGGTCAAGGCTGTGGTGAGCCATGTTCATGCTACTGCACTCAAGCCTAGGTGACAAAGTGAGACCCTGTCTCAAAAAAAAAAAAAAATTATTTGGGAAATCTCTGGAATCTTAGGTCTACTGTTCTTGGTTATGGACTCTATAGAAATCACAAAAATTTTCCAGTCTTTTCATAGATAATAATAGGTATTTTGGTTTTTCTCTTCAAGTTATTCTAAATTATGAAAACAGGAGAACTGCTCTTCAAACTGTAGAACAGGTATTCAACAAAAGCTTTTTATTTCCATAATACTGAATTGCTTGGATCTAAGGAAGAATATATTTAATGGGCAAGTCTCAAAAGAAAATGCAGGTCACTATTGCTCTTTCCCATTTATCAATAGTGCAGCTCGGCAAAGCTCACATCGTATTGTGCAAGGTGAAAAGAACCCTCTCAGGTTCCAAGTTGTAGGATACGATTAAAGCCTAGTGACAATAAACCCAGCTGGCCTCAGGGCCTGTTTCCCAGACAGTCCTTTTCAACATCAGTACTCAAGGCAGATCAGAACCTTTCAGAGCTAGGGGAAATACACCTGCAGTGCTTAATTGTATACCCCTTGAGGCTTGCAGATAAACTCCCTTATCAAAAGAAGGCTTGAGTCCCCAACAAGTATTGAGTGGCTCAATTATTTCTTCCTCTGTCCCACGAAAATGGTTTTTCAGTGCAGAGGATAATTCTGCACACATTTATCAGTCCTGGCATAGACCTAGCCTAGTGGAGTACATGTGGATGAAACGTGTGATGTCCAATTTCAAGGTGTTTACAGTATATGTAGTTCTCTGTTTTATGGGGAGCGCCAGGTAGACAATGACTCCAACTAAGAGGTTAGGCAGGGTGGGGAGGGGACTTGTGGAAGAGGGAAAATGTGAACCAAGCCTTGAAAGAGCCAACTATTTTTTAATACCGCAGCCCAAGTGATGTTTCTGAAGTACAAATCTAATTATTTCATTTCCCTCTTTAAAGCCATCGGGGATGAGAAATATCAACACCTACTTTGTTTTGTGAGATAATGGTGCCCAGCACACAGTGAGTAAGGAAACTGAGGCTCAGGATGGGACCATGCTATCTCCAAAGCCAGCTAGTTAATGGCAGAATCATACTAGAACTCAGGGCCCCTGGGGTCACTGCTCCCCAGCACCTCAACAGCCCTTCTTGGCTGAACTCACTGAGCAAAATCAAGGTGCCAGCAGGACTGTGTTCCTTTCTGGAGACCCTTGGAGAGAATCCATTTTCTTGCCTTTTCCAGCTTCTAGAGGCTGCCCACATTCTTTGGCTTATCGTTCCTCTTTTCCTCTTTAATGGCTGATTGAATCCTTCACACATCACATCACTCTGACACTGACCCTTCTGCCCTCCTCTTACATTTGTTAGGACCCTTGTGATTACATTGGTCCTACCCAGATTACCTAGGATAATCTCCCGTCTCAAAGTCCTCATCTTAATCCCATCTGCAAGGTCCCTTTTGCAATTTAAGATAACATATTCAACATGTTCCAGGAATAAGAATGTGGATGTCTTTGGAGAGCCATTATTCTGCCTAACACAGATATAACCTAGCTGTTACCACCAAGGGTTGGAATGAGGATCATTCTGGGACTGCTGCAAGAGGCTGGAAACTGGAACCAAGTGCTCCCTTCATGGTAAGAAGCCAATGCTGGAACAACACTGACTGGAGCATCAAGCAAAACAGGAAGGAGCAACTCCTTCTACCCTCCTCCTGGCTTCGAGTGTCTCTCTAGCTCCCCTTGTTGGCGGGACCTATCAGAAGGCCAGCTGGCTACAGAGGACTGTAGTTTCGCAGTTTCAGTTCCAGCATCCCAGAGCTGAATATAGAAGGGTGGGTTGGAAGCCGAGAGACAGTAGCTTAGTAACTAACAAAGATGCCACTAAAAAATTCAGTTTAAACAAGTGACAGCCTGTGATTACATTGCATTTAATAAAAAGTTCAAAGCTCCAATATATAATGGTTTTTATAAACCAGTAAGAAAAAGCAACCCAGTAAAAGTGGGTAGATAAGAACAAAAGATTCACAGGTACTGTCCCATCCTGTCCAGTCCTATCCCACTGCCGCGTCTGCCAGTCATGGGCTCCACGCAGTTCAACAAGGGCACCTCCTCATACAGGCTGTTGGCTGAGGTCAAGAACTGGCTTCTGTCCAAATATGACCCCCAGAAGGAGGCAGAGCTCCGCAGCTGGGTTGAGGGACTCACTGGCCTCTCCATCAGCCCCGACTTCCAGAAGGGCCTGAAGGACGGACAGGATGCTCTTATGCACACTCATGAACAAGCTACAGCTGGGCTCAGTCCCCAAGCCCAACCACTCCATGCAGAACTGGCACCAGCTAGAAAACCTCTCCAACTTCATCAAGACCATGGTCAGCTACGGCATGAACCCTGTGGACCTGTTCGAGGCCAATGACCTGTTTGAGGTTGCAGCTGCAGGTGTCTCTTCTTGCCCTGGCAGGGAAGGCCAAGACTAAGGAGCTGCAGAGCGGGGTGGACACTGGCATCAAGTACTGGAGAAGCAGGAGCGGAACTTCAGCAGCCCCCCGTGAAGGCTGGCCAGTGCATCCTAAGGCTGCAGATGGGCACCAACAAATGTGCCAGCCAGTCAGGGATGACTGCATATGGCACGAGGAGGCATTTCTATGACCCCAAGAACTAAATCCTGCCCCCCATGGACCACTCGATCATCAGTGTCCAGATGGGTACAAACAAGTGTGTCAGCCAGGTGTGCATGATGGCTCCCGGGACACGGTGGCACATCTATGACCCCAAGCTGGGAAATGACAAGTGTGAGAACTCCTCCATGTCCCTGCAGAAGGGTTACACACAGGGCGCCAACCAGAGTGGCCAGGTCTTGGCCTGGGCCAGCAGATATACGACCCCAAGTACTGCCCACAAGGCACAGTGGCGGATGGGGCTCCTTCAGGCGCTGGCGACTGCCTGGGCCCGGGGGAGGTCCCTGAATATCCCCCTTACTACCAGGAGGAGGCTGGCTACTGAGTCTCGCAGCATGCTCTCTCCCCACATCATCTCCCCGTCTGGGTTTTTGGGTTTTTCTGTGTTTTCATCTCTTTTTTTCTTAACGTGTTCAGTGCTGACAATCAACTGAGGGTCTGTGAGTGGTGGCATGGGATCAGGCAGCAGGGCTTTTGTCTCCCTTGCCTTGGTCCTTCGCAGGACTGAGCCACCCGGCTGTGGGGGAAGGGGTCAAGGCCATATCCCACTAAGTGTTGGGTGAGGGTCCTTGTTGGCACCTCCAGGCTGTGGGCCGAGCTGTGCTGGGGAGAAGAGATCTGGGCTTGGAGGGAACTGGTCCCCAAAGCTTTCCGCTTGCCTCACCTTTTCCCCCTTTTGTCAGCTGATCAGTTTGTGGTTTCTGTACCCACTACAGTTTCAGGACGTATCAACAAAAGATACATTTTTTTTCCCCCCTAGGAATGGGGCGGGGACAGTGGAGAGGGTGCTAGGAAATGAGTCCCTTGGGAAACGGGGCCTGGCCACAATGCTAAATATCTCAGGCTCCCAAGTGGCTGGATTTCCCTAGTAACCTCAGACCAACAGATCTCAGACCCTCAGACCTGCCCTGGGGCCCGGTGGGGAAAGTGAGGCCCGTACAAGGAAGTGGAATTCTGAGGTGTGAGGTCTAAGCTTGACCCCCTGTCCATGCTAACTCCCCACACTGTGGCCTCAGTAGGTTTTGTTGTTGTTGCTTAGGCTGGAGTGCAGTGGCGTGATCTCAGCTCACCGCACCTCCACCTCCTGGGCTCAAGGGATTCTCCTGCCTCAGCCTCCCAAGTAGCTGGGACTGCAGGTGCTCCACCACACCTGGC